ACACGTGTCACTCGAGGCAGATCTCACCTCGTATGTCACACGTGGACTCGTTCAAGATCAACGTAACGGTCCTGCGTAAGTTACGAGTGTTTTTTTGTTTGTTAGATGAACTCTGCTTAGGTTGACTTTTTATTGGTTTCTTGTGATTGTTTTGTTTGTTATTTATCTAATTTTCTTAGTATTCTTTCCGATATTTTTTTTTCTTTGCTGGTCGAACCCTGCATTGGTTGACTTTTCATCAGTTTCTTGCGCTTGTTTATTTGTTATTTATCTACTTTTGTTAGTATTCTTTATGCATATAATATTCATAATAAGAATAAATTTATAATATTAATTGTATTTTTTGTCGAGTAAGTTACACACACATGCCGAGATTATTGTTACGTGTAGGACAAATTTCGCATTAGTTGACTTTTCATTGGTTTCTTGTACTTGTTTTGTTTGTTATTTATCTAATTTTGTTAGTATTCTTTATGAATATAATATTTATAATAAGAATAAAATTTATAATATTAATTGTATTTTTGTCGAGTAAGTTGCCGAAATTATTGTTATGTGCTGGACGAAGTCTGCATTAATTGACTTTTCATTGTCTTCTTGTGCTTGTTTTATTTAGTATTTATCTACTTTTGTTAGTATTTCTATGCATATAACATCCGTTAAAATAATATTTTTAATTGGATTTTTATCGATATCATTTTGTCGGTATCAAGTCATCGAATGTCTGCGCAGTTGACGCGCATATTACGCCTTGCAATGAGCTCTATATCCTTTATATCTCAAATAACTTTATATTTATATCCTTTATATTCAATATATCGGTACCCTAAATTATTGAGAGTTGGTAAAGCTTCGTGACTGCTGCATGATCCTGAATATTGTGACAAAAGAAAGTGGTTACATCCATAGGGAAAAAAATTTTTGTCAAGCATCTTCCAATATTTGAAAATAGTGTTTTTATTGTTATAATAAGTTTTTTGTTTGTTTAAGGGAATAAAAATTTGGAATGAAATTCATTGGGGAATTTAATGGAATGATGCGGATCTGGTACTTTTATCGATAATTGCTACTTGCTTTTTGCATAAGGGAGGAAATTTGTAGGGTGATTATAAATTAAAAGCAGGATATCAAAACTCTTCCTCAAGCTTTACATTTGGCTGAATGACCGCAAAAATTCAACGTTGTAACCGCCATAAACACTTCTGGAGCAACATCAAAGCAAACGTCGAAACGCTGCCGAAGGACGCGAAAATATTTTAAAAGTGTTTTGGATGGATAAGTTAGAATAAAGTCGGCATCATTAGCCGGAATCATCTGACGGTTAGTTTTATGTAAATTTCATTCTGTAACCCGAGTTCTTAATATAAAAACAGTAGAGGTTATCGAAAGAGAACAAAGGCCAATGCAGTTGACCTGGATTGGACTCCGGTGACAATAGATTAAAGCACTCGAAACATTCTTGAATATGTATTAAAAACTTCATTTGAAAGCTTTGGATATCTCCACTCAAGTCAAGTTCCACCTAATTTTAAAATCGGTTCTAAGTTTGAGTTTCTGAAAAATTTGGCAAGATAATCTAATATCTCACGTATGTCTCAGTAATTTTGTCTATGAAATCGCAATCTGTTCTTCAATATCCATTTGTTCTCGATAAGATTTTATGAAACGTTTAATAATAATCAAGAACCCTGCACACATCAGACACCTGACGCCGCATCAACATTGAATTAAACATTATTTTGCTAAATAAACGTTGTTTTAATTTAATTCAACATTTAATTTAACATTGTTTTAACATCCTTTGCCTGGCGGGTCAGTAAAATATTCCGGCACTAAACACTGGAGCAAATGTTACCCGCTGCTGTCGCCGGTTCTCTCATGGAGCTCTACGGCGTCGCGAATATGGCCTCGTTTGCGATCGTCAGAATTTGAGAAATTCAAAAATCTGCGAGTTGTAATCGTACGATCACCCAAATCTCTTGGATTTTGCAGCCTCCGCTCTGCGCCTGAACTAATCTCAAGTTGCAAATCGGAGCGGGTTTATGAGATTTTCCATTTTAAAGCAGATTTTACGATAGCTGAAATCCTGGATTCCCTTTAGATTTTTCGAATTCGCTCGCAGGTGCAATTGAGTTACCGAAACTTTGAAGCTGGTCTTTAGTCGAGGCAAGTAAGCATTAAAATAAATAAGTGGATTTCTTTTGAAACCATATTATCTGAACAATTTAATTTACTCCTGGTGCCATTACACCTTCAACACCGCTGATGCAATTTACGCGTTAATTCGGGTGAAAACAGTCAAGGGATGAGGGGATGTAAAAATATTTTAAGTAAATTGCGTACAGAACCCTTATAAAATGAAGGTCATTAAACGCACCAAGAATATTATTTTTCAAAGGTAACAAGTTGCTAAAAATATATCTTACATATTTATTTAATTTGCCTGTGTTTCTTTACTTTCAGACAATTCACCCTGTGCTCATGAATAGATTTTCGTAGAGCCATCTGACTCATAAACTTAAATGAAGTAAAATAATAATATTTATTATTACGATTAAAATAACCATTTATTGTTGCAAAAAAAAACAAATATATATATCCGGAAATAATGAATTATTCAATGAGTAACTAAAAATAATGTGATCTGAAAAAAATATGTCTAATTCACTTGGGCATGTAGAAGTAATTACATAATTATACTAGATAATATATTATTTGCCAAGTTGATTGAATTTTCAACAGACCATTGCCAAATATTTCTAAATTTATATGGCACAAAAATTTAACCTATTCAAGAATTCCATAGAAATTTACAAGCCAAAATATGATGTTTATTTTGTAATTTTTGTATAAATATTTTTATTTTCTACGTGGCAGGCTCAATAGAGCTGGTACCGAGCAGCGAGTCCCAAGACGTGTCGTCGGGTTCGAACATCGTCGTGACGTGCAAACTGAGCGGCAGAGGCATCACCTCGCATCGGATATGGTGGACAGGTCCTAGTGACCAGCGAGTGCCCACCAGACTTAACAGGTTAGTGACAGGTTATATTACGTTGTAATAACACATAAATTGTTTATCAAGGCTTGGAAGTAATCTTACACTCAGAAAAATGAGTGAAACTTTGGCCCAAATAGCGATGCACTTTTCGCCAGTGGATTAGTCTTCCTGACCAAATTTCGGCCATCAAAAAAGTGCATGTCTGTGCAATGGCCGCTCTCTGCTCGAGCTGTGATTAACACGTTGACTACGATTGCTTTATCTTGTACAATTATTTCATTTGTTGTACTTTTTTTAAGCAGGGTTACCAGACGGTTATTTTTTCCGGACAAATTCCGTGATTTAGTTTTTCTCAATTGCGTTGGCCGGCTAAAATTTATGATAGGGGTACTTCCTAATTAAATTTTAAATACTGTAAAAAGAAAATAAATGGAATTTTTATAGCGGAACCTACAAATAAACTAGTATACATTGAATTATCGGCCTTTTTGGCCTTTTTTGTTCTCGGATTTGGCCGATTTTGGGCAAACTGAATTATGTACCACTACCTCCTGGAGAAATAAATTTCGTGGTACGCATATGTACCACTTCGTAGTCAACGTGTTAAGAATGTGTGTCACTATTCGGACAGTATGACCGAATATTTGTTGTGGCCTTATGGCCTTTTATCATTGGCCCTTATGGCCAATATGGCCTTGCTTTATCCGTGTAACCTTGAATAAGACAAGGTAAGGAGGATTAATGGCAATTTAACGGGCTTCTTTGCCCAAATAGCTCGATGCACTTTTGACCCTATAATGGGTCAACATGGCAGAGTTTGACCAGGCAAAAATGTATATCAGCGCTACATCATATCTCTGTTCTTGCTGTGAGTGAGAAAGTGTGTCCTTATTCGGGCAATATGATCCTTTATTTTTTGCGTGTGCGTTTCAAGATCATGACATAGACTTACAAGATCATGACATGATTAAATTTTATATTTTCAAAGTTTGATTGGCGTAATATATCAAGTTGAACTTATACGAAACAATTTTTCATTCGCTTTCCGGTCATGGAATGATGCTAGATAGTAGTTATATCCTGGTACCTTCATTGGCGTAAAGTCGTGAAGTGAACATAGGCTAATGTTTCGACCACTGATCAGTTACTCGCCGGGTTAATCTGACAATTTTTGAAAATTATTTGATGTTTTTCCAAGAATAATTCTAATAGAACAATTCTTCTTTTTTTCCAATGCACGCATGAAATGTTAATAGTAAAATCATTCGTGCAGTGACAATGAAACAATTAGTTTTGACAGAAAGAATACTGATTGAAAATACCCATGATTGCTCCTTGATATTTCCCGTCACAGCAGAATAAGTTTTGACTAGCAATGAATTGTGTTCATCTCACTGATTCTTACCTATACGTACAGATTGGTTGAATGAATAAAAATATAGCGAAAATCAATTAAATGCAGTCGATAGAATAAAGGCTGTAATAGAGCACGACACCGATATGTTTGATATATCGGAATAGAAATATGCAGGTTTGATTGAAGACATGCAGAGCATGTTTTTTATTAATTATCTTAAGTTTAGGCTTTCGTCTTCAATCAAACCTGCATAAAAGAAAAGCTTCTGCCGAACTACAGCAAAGAGTAGAAATACTGATTACTGAATAATATTTTCGCTTTATTTCATCCGTTTTTCTATTTCATGCTGCCGATTTTTTAGCAACAAGAGGTAAGTGGTGTGAGTAGAATTTATTGTGGATACAAAATTCTATTATGTACAAATCGGTTAGGTTACAACTGTTCCTTTTGATAAGTATTTAAATTTCCTTTGTATAATTACGATTTTTATTTCATTCTTATTCGAGTAACTCAAAATTTTTCGTGCCGTAATTTCTCACAGAACTTTTTAGGCATAGATTTCCTCGCTATGCTTAAATAAATTATTTCTCGTCGTGAAAATTCATTTCTCGTTTCTTGTAAAAATAAATTCGTGAATTATAAGGAAAAATTTGCTTTCGAACAAGAATTTACTTTTTCTCGTGGCATCATTAGCTCAATATCCCGACAATTTAGTGCTTTAAGTCCTACAACAATTCGGAAACAAATGATTGGTCCTACAAGAACTCAAACAACAGAAATGTGTCCTACAACAATTCGCTCAAAAACTCCTTTTAAAGGTTTTTCAAGGCAAGTATAATTTTTTACTTAATATCGTGTTTCCAATTTCTGGTTCAAAACTCAGACAGAAAGGTACCTGTCGCCACCGTCTGGAGGCTGTCTCTTATACACATCTAGATGTGTATAAGAGACAGTCATGAGACATCCTCCACATCATGACATATCCTCCACATCATAAGACATCCTCCACATCATGAGANACTAAGTTCACGTAACGTCCTTCATGTAGAGAACTAAGTTCACGTAACGTCCTTCATGTAGAGAACTAAGTTCACGTAACGTCCTTCATGTAGAGAACTAAGTTCACGTAACGTCCTTCATGTAGAGAACTAAGTTCACGTAACGTCCTTCATGTAGAGAACTAAGTTCACGTAACGTCCTTCATGTAGAGAACTAAGTTCACGTAACGTCCTTCATGTAGAGAACTAAGTTCACGTAACGTCCTTCATGTAGAGAACTAAGTTCACGTAACGTCCTTCATGTAGAGAACTAAGTTCACGTAACGTCCTTCATGTAGAGAACTAAGTTCACGTAACGTCCTTCATGTAGAGAACTAAGTTCACGTAACGTCCTTCATGTAGAGAACTAAGTTCACGTAACGTCCTTCATGTAGAGAACTAAGTTCACGTAACTTCCTTCATGTAGAGAACTAAGTTCACGTAACGTCCTTCATGTAGAGAACTAAGTTCACGTAACGGCTGATTTTTCATCTGCTATTAATCAGCTTAGCTTGAAAAGCCGTCAATGATTGATCTTAGTTACAAGCGCGCACCTATTTTGACAATGGCGCATCTATTTTTTGACAATAACGCACCTATTTTGACAATGAGGCGCACCTATTTTGACAATAGCGCACCTATTTTGACAATGAGACGCACCTATTTTGACAATGAGGCCACTGACGACAGATGTTACGCCGAGGAGCCGCTGGACGGCACTGAGGTGTCGCTGATACTGGAGGGCGTGGAGCAGCAGGACGCGGGGCCCTACACATGCCACGCTACCATCAACGGCCGCACCACCACACGCAGCTTCCTCCTACACGTCCACAGTAACGTCGCTGTCTGGTCTAGGCTCACTTTCTCGAATTAATGTTTTTGAATGGGACTTTTAACGTTGATTTTTAACATGGATGTCAAAGAGACGTGGCTGTCTTATGTAGCCGAACATTAATTCGTTACTCAAGGTTTTGCTAGTGATTAATAATATTTAAGGCAGTGTCTTGGGTGTTTAGTCTGACATAATAAGTTCTCTCGCATTAACTAAAGTTTGATGCAATTAGGCTTTCTCAATGTGGTTGACGCTTCTGGGATTTGATAGCAGAAAAATTGAACTTTCAAATTTCAAGTATTATCTATCGCAAGCAACCCCACGTTAAGCTTTAAAAAATTGGTAGTTAATCCACGTCAATTAATGAATATTTCATACATAAGCTGTATATATTTTATATTTTATACATAGACTGTATATATTTTATATTTCATCCAGAGACCGTAGAGTTCACCGGCACACCGCAGCACCAGACGCTGTCGGTCGGCGCCGCGTCGTCCCTGCGCTGCACGGCGTGCGGCGACCCGCCGCCCAGCGTCGCGTGGAGCGTCCGCGGCCGCAGACTGAACGCCGGTGAGGGAAGTCCGGCGTGGTGAGGGAAGGCCGGCGTGGTGAGGGAAGTCCGGCGTGGTGAGGGAAGTCCGGCGTGGTGAGGGAAGTCCGGCGTGGTGATGTGGTGAGGGAAGTCCGTTGTGGTGAAGGAAGTCTGGTGTGGTGAGGGAAGTCCGTTGTGGTGAGGGAAGTCCGGCGTGGTGAGGGAAGTCCGTTGTGGTGAGGGAAGTCCGGCGTGGTGAGGGAAGCCCGTTGTGGTGAGGGAAGTCCGGCGTGGTGAATGGGGGTGAGTGAAGTCCGTTGCGATCTCGGCCGATGAGTGAAGTCCGTAGTGGTCCCAGATGGTGAGTGAAGTCTGGTGCGATAATGGCAGGTGAGTGTAGAGGTGATTGCTGGTGCTCATTGAGGTGGCTCCTGGTGACTGTTGTGATAGCTACTGGTGATTGTTGAGGTGACTTTAATCACCTCGATGTTAGGGCCTTTATTTATTTTAATAATTCGCCAACCAAAAGTTCGCCTAAACGTTTCAATTAGCGTTATTATTATACGAGTATTTACGGAAATCCAAACTATCATTTTGCTATGGTATTCATGTACGGTTGTCTGTAACTCGTGAACAACAATCGATGTTCGCTTGACCTCAGTGGACCAAATTACATCCTTTCACTTATTTGAAAGACTACATACGTAGCAATAGTAATAATTAAATATAATATCCCGGAAATAATTTTCCCTCTGACATAGTGTATTCTCAGAAACATATTATATAATATAATCTTTATCGCAATAATGTTATATCTTATATAAAGTTATCTCGCAGAACATAGTATTTCATATAAATACCGTGTCGATGTTTTTTCGCAGATTCGGATAAGTACGTGAGAGCGGGCCACATTCTTCACGTGTACAACGTGACACGTTCAGATGCTGGGATCTACACGTGTCACTCGAGGCAGATCTCACCTCGTATGTCACACGTGGACTCGTTCAAGATCAACGTAACGGTCCTGCGTAAGTTACGAGTGTTTTTTATTTGTTAGGCGAACTCTGCTTAGGTTGACTTTTCATTGTTTTTTCGTGCTTGTTTTCTTTGTTATTTATTTAATTTTGTTATTATTCTTTACGAGACTTTTTCTTTGCTGGTCGAACTCTGCTTTGGTTGACTTTTCATTGGTTTCTTGTGATTGTTTTGTTTGCCATTTATCTAATTTTGTTAGTATTCTTTACGAGATTTTTTTTGCTGGACGAACTCTGCATTGGTTGACTTCTCATTGGTTTCTTGTGCTTGTTTTGTTTGTTATTTATCTACTTTTGTTAGTATTCTTTATGCATATGACATCCATAGAAGTAAAATTTATAATATTAATTGGATTTATGTCGAGTAAATAACTCATGCATGCCGAGAATTATGTTTAGTGCTGGACCAAGTCTGCATAAGTTGACTTTTTATTGGCTTCCTGTGCTTGCTTTATTTGATATTTATCTACTTCTTTTAGTATTTTTAATGCATATAACATCCGTTTAAGTAATATTTTTAATTTTTGTTTGGGTTTTTGTCGGTATCAAGCCATCGAATGTCTGAGCAGGTGACGGTTATATTACGCCTTGCAATGCTCTTTATATCCTTTATATCTTTAATAACTTTATATTTATTATTGACTGCTTTGATGGGACTGCTGGCGTTAAATTTTTCATTATCGTTGTGAGATCATCGTATATTGCCTGATGGGATTTCTGTCTCTTTAATGCCTCGTCGTCATGAGGTTTTTGCATGGAGCCTTGTAGTTCTTAGAACAGCGCTAGCAAGTGTGCAGTGAGCCTGAACTTAGCGCATCAGCTGCCGATTGCTTTATAAATTAAAAAAAATACTTTGTCGTCTCTTTTTACTTTTTTTCTGATATATAAGCGAAGCGTTTAAGTAAATTTTAATTCAGCTGTGAATAAGATTGTGATTCCGGTTTGTATTTATTAAATTTTGGGACATGAGCAAACGTCATCGGTAATTTGATTGTAGCATTGGATGTCATATTTGCTTCTACCGCTGCACTACCTTCGTATTCCTCGTTTATTACAACGAATATAACATCTTCTTCAATATCCTGTTGATTTAATAGTTTTATTATCATCAGATCCACCACAGTTCACGACCACGAAATACTCAGAACATTTTGGCTTCGTGCAAGGAGTGGCAAACTTGAGCTGTTCAGTCGACGCAGATCCGGCCGCTAATTTCACGTGGTATAAGGACGGCCAAGAGCTAAGAGCTAAGCTTATTTTTGAGGAAAAAGAATCAGATGACTACAGTTGGCTTCTGAAAACCAGACAAACTCTAGACCGTGTCAGTAGGGTGATTATAAATTAAAAGCAGGATATCAAAACTCTTCCTCAAGCTAAATTTACATTTGGCTGAATGACCGCAAAAATTCAACGTCGTAACCGCCATAAACACTTCTGGAGCAACATCAAAGCAAACGTAGAAACGCTGCTGAAGGACGCGAAAATATTTTAAAAGTGTTTTGGATGGATAAGTTAGAATAAAGTCGGCATCATTAGTCGGAATCATCTGACGGTTAGTTTCATGTAAATTTCATTCCGTAACACGAGTTCTTAATATAAAAACATTAGAGGTTATCGAAAGAGAACAAAGGCCAATGCAGTTGACCTGGATTGGACTCCGGTGACAATAGATTAAATCGCTCGAAACATTCTTGAATATGTATTAAAAACTTCATTTGAAAGCTTTGGATATCTCCACTCAAGTCAAGTTCCACCTAATTTTAAAATCGGTTCTAAGTTTGAGTTTCTGAAAAATTTGGCAAGATAATCTAATATCTCACGTATGTCTCAGTAATTTTGTCTATGAAATCGCAATCTGTTCTTCAATATCCATTTGTTCTCGATAAGATTTTATGAAACGTTTAATAATAATCAAGAACCCTGCACACATTAGACACCTGACGTCGCATCAACATTGAATTAAACATTATTTTGTTAAATAAATGTTGTTTTAATTTAATTTAATATTTTATTTAACGTTGTTTTAACATCCTTTGCCTAGCGGGTCAGTAAAATATTCCGGCACTAAACACTGGAGCAAATGTTACCCGCTGCTGTCGCCGGTTCTCTCATGAAGCTCTACGGCGTCGCGAATATGGCCTCGTTTGCGATCGTCAGAATTTGAGAAATTCAAAAATCTGCGAGTTGTAATCGCACGATCACCCAAATCTCTTGGATTTTGCAGCCTCCCCTCTGCGCCTGAACTAATCTCAAGTTGCAAATCGGAGCGGGTTTATGAGATTTTCCATTTTAAAGCAGATTTTACGATGGCTGAAAACCTGGACTCCCTCTAGATTTTTGGAATTCGCTCGCAGGTGCAATTGAGTTACCGAAACTTTGAAGCTGGTCTTTAGTCGAGGCAAGTAATCATTAAAATAAATAAGTGTGTTTCTTATGAAATCCTATTATCTGAACAATTTAATTTACTCCTGGTGCCATCACACCTTCAAAACCGCCGATGTAATTTACGCGTTAATTCGAGCGAAAACAGTCAAGGGATGAGGGGATGTAAAAACATTTTAAGTAAATTGCGTACAGAACCCCTTATAAAATGAAGGTCATTAAACACATTATGAATATTATTGTTCAATGATAATAAGTTACTAAAAATATATCATACAAATTTATTTAATTTGCCGGTGTTTCTTTAGTTTCAGACAATTCACCCTATGCTCATGAATAGGTTTTCTTAGAGCGTTCTGACTCATAAACTTAATTGAAGTAAATAATAATATTTATTATTACGATTGAAATAACCTTTTATTGTCATTTTCAGAAAAAGTAACTAAATTTTCGGAAACAATGAACAATTCAATAAGTAACTATGTGGTTTGGAAACAAATATGTCTAATTTGCTAAAGCACGTAGAAGTAATTACATAATTATAGTAAATAATTTGTTATACGCAGAGTTGATTGAGTTTTCAACAGACCTTTACAAAATATGTTTGAATTTGAAATATCATAAAATTCTAACCTATTAAAGAATTCCAAATAAATTTACAAGCCAAAATATAAAACTTGTTTTATATTTTTATATAAATATTTTATATTCCACGTGGCAGGCTCAATAGAGCTGGTACCGAGCAGCGAGTCCCAAGACGTGTCGTCGGGTTCGAACATCGTCGTGACGTGCAAACTGAGTGGCAGAGGCTTCACCTCGCATCGGATATGGTGGACAGGTCCTAGTGACCAGCGAGTGCCCACCAGACTTAACAGGTTAGTGGCAGGTTATATTACGCTGGAATAACACATAAATTGTTTATCAAGGCTTGGAAGTAATCTTACACTCGGAGAAATGAGTGAAACTTTGGCCTAATGGCGATGCACTTTTCGCCAGTGGATGGGTCATCCTGATCATTTTCGGCCAGAAAAAGAGTGCATATCAGTGCAATGGCCGCTCTCTGCTCGAGCTGTGCTTAAGAATGTGTGATATTATTCGGACAATATGACCAATTTATTTTATCAGTGTCACTTTCAATTAGACAAGGTAAGGAGGATTAATGGCAATTTTACGGGCTTCTTTGCCCAAATAGCTCGATGCACTTCTGACCCTATAATGGGTCAACATGGCAGAGTTTGACCAGGCAAAAAGATATATCAGCGCTACATCATATCTCTGTTCTTGCTGTGAGTGAGATCGTCTGTCCTCATTCGGGCAATATGGCCTTTTAATTTTTTGCGTGTACGTTTCAACTATTCATGACATGATTAAATTTTATATTTTATAGGTTTGATTAGCGTAATATATCAAGTTGTACTTATACGACACAATTTTTCTTTCTTTCTCCGGTCAAGGAATGATGCTAGATAGTAGTTATATCCTGGTACCTTCATTGGCGTAAAGTCGTGAAGTGAAAATAGGC